CCCCACCGTGACTGGCATTTCGGAAAACACCCTGTATACATCGACGAGTTCGAGTGTGCGTCACATGGAACGAACGCGGTCGCCCCGTGGCCGCCACGCGTGATGAGGAACGAACGGAATCATAAATGTCCGATCTCTGCTGCGGGGTGACACGGTTGCGGGAACACAAGCGAGTCATGACGCTGCGAGAAGGTATAGGGTCGACGGGAGGGCCGCGGGAACGAAAAGGGAGGCCGGGTTCAGCACAGCGGAGAAATTTATGCCGTCCCCGTGATGGGATTTGACGGCGTAGACGTGGATTTTCAACGTCGAATCGCCACCCGGAAATGCACCCGGCCGGCCATTGTTTCGCTCGTCGTCCCGTGATTCCCCGAACCTGACGTTCCTCTTTACGGAAAAGAACGTCTTCTTCTGCACGCTCGCGGAATTTACACGGCGATTGTTAAGGAACAAAAGGCCCCGAGATTATAGTTAAAACGGTCTGCTTCCGGAAAAAATCGTTTTTATACAAACTCTTAAGTACATCGATATTTCAAGAAAAAGTATACCTTATGAGTGTACTTTATTAATATATTTTTTCCTCGGATACATTAGGTATTAATATACTTACTCGAGGAAAAAGTATACCTTCAGTATTGATGGAAGAATACCTTGAGTATTAATATACGTAAAAGTATAACTTCAGTATTAATACAAGAATACTAGAAGCATTTATATAGTTCAGTATTAATATACATAAAAGTATAGCTTCTGTATTAGTAGGAGAATACCTTCAGAAAAAGTATATCTTCGGTATTAATACAAGAATATTTCAAGCATTACTATAGTTTAGTAAATATTCAGTATTAATATACTTAAGGTATTCTTCTATATAGTATTAAGGTATTCTTCAATACAGTATTAACCATTAAAAAGTACCAAAACTTTAGACGCGTGCAGTTTTGAAACTACTCATGTTTTTTGCACAATTAGTTGGAAGTGGTAAATCTTCCCCTTTAAAATGGTTTTTGGTTTATGTCGATCCGAATTGTGGTTTTCGAGGTATCGTAATTTATGTAAAGGGATAATTTTTATAATTTGACTATCTCTGTCTGCATCAGACTCGTCGCGTCGGACCTCTTTTTCGCGAGTGAGTCGAGACAGTCGTCACTGTTTACTGTTTACGCGTGCGAGGTCAATGAACTCGCGTCAATGAAACGTAAACAAATGCTCGATTTGAAACTAAAATCCTCATATCTCCGGAATTAATTATGCTGTCGACTTGAATGAACGCTCATTTTAAAGGGCATTTTATCCTCTATCCAATGAATATATCAACTATTATAATTTATGGCATCTTCTATGTTTATTTTGATATTTGTTGTCATAGGAAACCGTTCGTGTTATATTACGAGACGGAATCCGTTAACGGTTCGGCTTTACACACGGCGTGCAATCGCCCTTTTTTGTTTCGGTGATCGCTGATTGTTACTCGAACCGTTCTTTAGTCGAGCACCGCGCCGTGCGTTCGTCAGATCGTCGCGAGTTCTCGTACAGACGCGACTGTCGCAGAACGTAATGTATTTCGCCTTTTTATAATAAAGTTTTCTTCTGGTTTTTGTTATCTATGGCTATACTGTCGACCACTGTGCATCTTCTATTGCTATCCTATTAACAATAATATCTATTTCAACGCTATATACCTAAAGAAGTTTCAGCAATTCCTATTGATCGTACGACTGGTGTGCGATATAACTGGATCATAAATTGTTTATTTAATTGAAAATGAATTTAAATTTGTACACGGGATGTTTGCATAATCACTATGTCATTTTTTTCGTAAATAATTGTTTTGTTCTGACCCATACGGGATAGGCCAGATCCTATTTGCTAATCAAGACACCTCCCATAATAGAATTTTTGTATCTAAACAACGACCGAACAGGACGAGCTCAGCTTATATGTCCGCACTGAACATTTTGTGTTGACTCGATTCATGTCTATATATTCGAATTGTTAATAAATTATTGTGTTGGCAAATAAGTGTTGTTTTCTTTTCTATTTGCTAAATATAAACTATAAACTATAACTCCTTCCAAGATATCCTGCTGTACTCACTTAACACACTCTTGGACCGACCATTCAGTATCCTCGCTTCTTCCACCAAGCAAACCGTGTCACACGTTAATAGAAACAAATTTCATATTATTTCTGGTTTAGATTCATATCATAAGCGTTTTCCACGTTTGCTAGGATGATAGCTGTGACAACGCTATAGGGTTGTACGTCGATCCAGCTACTTTAAGTTTCACGGTCCGCCACCCCGGGCGTTCTTCGTCCTCTGGTCGCCCTAACCGAATATGCATCCGCGTCCATCAAGCGTACAGAGAGATAGCGTTAACAAGCTGTATATAAGCGATGGACTCAGCGAGTGATTTGACCGGGCGACATCAAAGAGGCTCCCGTGTTTCCTGCTCCCGAAGTCCATCGGGACATCGGAGCTCTCGAGTCATGGCTCGTATCGTGGCCACGAGCTCCGGAGGGCACAACGACGACAACATAACCGGTTTCGATGGGCGAAAGGAGGCCATCGGAAGGTTTCATCGATGCTGGGGGAGAGGGGCAACGTTTCTGACCGCCAATCAGTCCGGTGGGCCCGATGATCCGTGTTCCCGTTGCCGCGTCAGTGAAAATCGCTAGCAATCCAGCATGGACGATTCAAAGGGGAAACTTTCCAAGTTTGCGGTTATTGCGACCGGATCGATCGATCGGTAACAGCGTATAGCTTATGGATAGTAAGCCGTGCAACACTCACCGGCAAAGCTACTTCTCTTACACTCTTATCCCTCGAGCACCGAATTCGCTGCGTTGTACGTATCTATCTCTCTTTGCCCGAAGGGACAATGGAACCAGCGTTCCCGAGGGAATATCAGAGGATAGGAGTAGCGCTTCCTACAGCACAGCCGGCGATGTAGCCAACCCGCCCATTGGCCAGCGGTGAGAGAGCACTTCCTGTTAGCCTCGACCCTCGTCCGCAACCAGCCGCAGGCCGCAAGCCTCGACTCCTGCGAGCCGTAACCTCTAACCTCACGCTGTTCGGCCTGACCTCCTGCCGACAGCGTAATTGTTTAGAAACCCCTTGATCTGTAATTTCAGCGCCCGGCCTCCTCTCTACACGAAACATCGTTAACACGGCTTCCCCTCTCTCTTTCACTCGGTTCGTCCCTTTCCCTCTTACTCCCACGCACACACGTTCCCTGTCTCTCCGCGTCCATCCCCCTTTCTTGCCCTCCGACGGACTCGGATGCTTTACCCTGCTTCGTCTTACTTTCTATCCGTCTTTCTCTATTCGCCGCCAGTCGATATTCCGCGCATGCACGTCGTACCTTATGCGGTTGCACCGCAAACGACCACGGGCGCAAAGTTTGTGTACGCCGTTCGAGGAGAACGGGGTGGAAAACCAATGAGTCGTCACGCGAAAGGTCGCGCTTAATTGTGTGTCCCCTCGGTCAGCAGAATTTTGCTCGCGTTACCCGGTGATTACCGTCGGATGGGGTCGCTGTCATTCCAACTGTATTTTGTTAGGACTGCATCCGACTGTTCGAACGATCAAACACCCTCTTGAAACTAACGTAACTTTTACTTTTTATCCCCCCCCCCCCTTTCCCCTCCTCTCAAAAATGCTGGTTTCGTTTCAGTTTCACTTTGTTGTTTATCTGCGATCGGAAATTAAATTTAAATGTTTACGGGCGTCTCTTATCCCCTCCCTCAAACCTTTCGTCGTTGATCATTTTACGAGTATAGAGATTGGAACGATAGACATTAGGAATAAAATGAAACGAAAATAAAATTTAAGTAACTAAATTCCGTATGAATTATTTTACGAGATTGGACGTAGCAAAGTTTTACGACGGTTCCTGCGTCCAAAGTCTATTAAACGAATTCTTCTCTAAGCCCGACAGCTTCGCAGATACCAATAATTACTGGACTACGGCACATACATCCCATCGGCCACGAGTTTCGCGATAATTTACATATTCATGGAACTTCAGTACTCCCGGCGAGTTTCTTTATTGTTTTACTTGGGGGAGAGAAACATAGAAGAAAACTAATAGAGCGAACGCACAAAGTACGGTAAACAGTAATAAAAGTTAAGAATGGGTATTCCAGCGAGGATAATATAAAGAGTCTGTCAGAACGGAATAACTAATACATCATAACTATGTAAATAACATCAGAGTCTGTAATTTACATAGTTATGGGCGTATCAGTTATTTCATTGTAATAACGCACCCGCCTCGTTCTCGTTCCAGTACCCGTCCTTACCTCCTACAACTGTCTCCGATACTCCAGATACTCTGTCTATTAGCTTTTTAATCACGATCCAATGCATAACTACAGAATTTAATGCGAGAAGGTAATTCTGTGTGCTGGTAAATGGTAATTACGGCTCTTTATACGTTGGACTACGAAATGTAACAATGGAAGAGGCTGCCTCGAACACGAACGGCAATACACTGGGTGCCCTGGGTGTTAATCGATCAATGACACAAAAGCTGTCATAATTATTAATGATTTTGCGAAGTGTGGATTTTACGTTCCAACTCGAAGTACTTTAATAACTCAATATTTCTCGTTCGATAGGCAAATACGATCGCGTTCAACTGCAGAAATTCCATTTTCATATAGAAAAGACTTCGAGAGTGATTCTTTCTGTATCGAAGGATACAATTTTCACCAAAATGATTTTATTTTAGGCCCTTCACTCTTGTTCCTCCCTTGGGACGTTTCTTTCAAACTCTATGTCACAGGATCGTTGGAAATACCTTTGAACCTCGATCAAATGTAGTTTCTTCGAAGTCAAAATTCTTTACCACATCGGTAAAATATGATGGAATCAAAAAAATGGAAAACCCCCTGGTCAAGGTAAATTTCTAGCACTATTTTCTAACCGATTTGCAGGACACTGAATTTCCTAACGCCGAATTATTTTCGTAAATTTTCCCAAGAGCTCTACTTACGATTTCCTCCAGCTTCGAACAGCCTTTCCTCGCGGTGCAGGCCAGCGCAACGATCACGCCGCCGCAGAACATCAGCAGGAGGAACACCGCCAATTTCCATCCGTGATCTCTCTGAGGGATGAGCTTCTTGGCGGTTGGCAGCCTGGCAACCTCCGTGGTGGAAACGCCGAGACGGGATGCCTTCACCAGGACCGTCCTCAGCCTCCTTGTCGCTTTTTCGCACGCCATTTTCGTCGGGTTGCTCTTGGAGGCCGACCTCGACTTTACGTGCACGTGATCCATCCTAGTGGGGGGACCCTAATCGAGCGTCGCTTCCGATAAAACGAAAGCAACGCGTAAGGGCATAACAACAGCCCCGAGGATCGACAGTCTATAGTTTCACGGACGATCGTTCGCCTCTTCGTTTCCGTCGGAAAGGTCTGATATCGCGTGTGAACTTTACGGGGAACGTTTCTTCGCGACGAATGCAGTCCAGAATGTTCACGATATTATACGCGTTTCGTCCGCCATTTTCTCCAGCGGTCACCAATACATTTATACGCGAAACGTCAGGACGAGAGAAAAGAAAAGGAATGGTTTCGAATGCGACCGACGGAGACGAAGAGAATCCTGATGAATTCCACGCACTCGACACTTGGTCCTTTCGATTATCACTAAGTCCACGATGTCTCTGTTTGATCACCTTTCGACCGATCGCTCCGTCTATTCATACGTTGTTTCAAGTCTAGCATAAGTTGAGGCGACGTTGAGACTACCATGAAAAGGCTCCTCGGAAGATTCTTCAGCTCAACAGCAGCGACATGCTCGTTCCTCGAACTCCAATAGTGATCCGTGAGAAGCGGCGCCCGTGGTTTTTCATATTTCTTTTCGCGAATTTCTCAGCAAAAATTCACCGTCTTTTTCGCGTGTTCGATGATCGCATTCGCTTAACGTTTGTACGTGCTTTCGTGTCGAGGATAGTTCGTTTAATTCTTTGTGGCGGTTCTTGCTTCGCGGGGCGATAGTCCAGCGGTATCGTTCGCATCAACGCTGTTGCTGTTTCTTTCCTGAACCACCTGGAAATAAAAGCGTCCGTCAGAACATCGTAGTCGCGTGGGATCGTGAAACGCTCGTTCGACGACGAAACACCGCGCGAAGCTTAATTGTCGAAACCACCCGATCGTTCCTAGCAATCGCAAGCCCGACCGACGACGAACGTCGGTTTATTGCCTCGCATTCCGCGCGGGATTGTTCGCCGCGGGCTCCGGAATCGTCTCGTGGCAAACACCGAGCCCGTAAGAATAGCGCGGGACGAATGGAGTTTCTCGAATCTTGGACGAATTTCACGTTAGGTGCGAACTGGTTGAAGAAAGTTGTTCAGGAATTTCAGGGAATTGCAAATACCGGTCGATTTTACGAAGTTGCGTGAAGAGAATAAAATAGAAAATTATATTTGTTTTTAAAAAAAATCTGGATCCCTTTATTTGCTCAATTAATTTAACCCTTAAGTGGATTATTGGGGCCGCTGCAGCCCTCCACAAATTTAGACTAATTATTCTTTAATATATGTCAATGTAATTATTTGAAAATTTATATAATCTTCTATTAGTCTATTATTTTTTAAATACTAAATTAAATATTGAGATCTGAGAGAAAGTTTCTTTGCTCCCCCTTTTTTATTTCACCCATATTGATCGGGATTTTTTTTTAAATTCATCACAACATTGTGAGAACGATTAAGTCTACGTGCAGTTTCACGTATTTTTACATTTCTTTTGTGAAAAGCTAAAATTTTGCCTTTTTTTTTACTCACTTAAATAACTTCCTCATGGTATTATTAATCAAATTAATGTTATCACACTTTCAACACGCTAGACAAATCAAAACTGACGAAATATCGAAATAAACAACATTCGAGTGCTTGGTTCTATAGGTATGAAACACTAACGAATCAGTTATCTGTAGATCATTTTTTTAGAATAAATATTATTCAACTATTTCTAAGGAAATACAGATTGCTAACGTGATCTCAAATATAGTATATTCCGTTTCTTCACATTTAAAAAAAAAATACATATAAAATTGATAATTTTAAGGTGGTTTTATAGTTATGGCACACAATGTATATACACTTCTCTACTGACCATTCAAACGATTGTTTTAAATACCTTCTGCAACGTTAGTTAAGATAAATGGAACTAATAATAATATATTACTCCAACACCTTTCCGCCCTATATTTTTTGACGTAGGAAGAATAAAATAACACTTTGTTCATCTCCTTTCAATGTTTGGTGTCTTAGAAACGACTCTCTAAAATATTAAAGTAAAATTCGCAAAGTTACGAGACGATATCTCTCGCGCTCGTCACCAGAGGGCTACGCTCGACGCGTACCTTTCCCGCAAGTGCTCGACCGCCCACAGAACTAATCCAATTTAACCACAAATATATTATCAGAATGATATAAATACAATGGTGCAAAATACCTCGAAGAAACGAAAGAAGCCCAGAAACGTCCCTTGCGCCAGGACAGAGTCAAAAAATTGTAACTTCTCGTTCCGGGGAACTTCCTAAACTATTAATACGAGAGGCACAGCAATATCTCAACCGTATTAAACACACTAGGCTTATCGTTACAACTTGAACCCTTTAGGCTCGCCCCATTATAAACCAAATTGAGCGCAAACCCCTCCTACCATTACACTGAATCACCATTGTCGGCATCGAAGGCCAGTATTTTAGAAGACAGCCACGATGCTACACCTTGTCCCGTTTAATTACACGACCCCATACTGGTTGTCGCTGGCACGAAATCGTTTCCCGGGGCACGATATATGGCGGTACTAGCAAGGGATGAAATTAATCGGGGTCGATGGAACTGTGTCGAACGTGTATCGTTCTTTGTGGTAAAAGTTTCTCGTTGCAACCGTAAGTTCCGTCGATACGTACGCCGGGGGGATCTTATTTCTGTCGATTTCAAAACCTCCTTGGAATCATCGACGGGCGATGGATTTTTAGTGCATTAAAGATGGAAGCAATATCGGGGATTGGATTATCGTTGGACGGGGGCGATATTACGAGGAAAATACTCGTGAGGAACGAACGGGGGCTCGTCGCAGGACCGTGTCCGAGGATTAAGCAAGAATTACCTTGGAATCCGGCTCTCGAATTCCGGCGCACTTAATCCTGTTTCTGTCGGTCTACGTACACGCACAACTTGAACGCCATTTTCTTTTACCCGTAATTCTTCCGTGGTTAATCTTAAATCCTCTGTTAATTGCGTTACCGCGAGGGCGGAGTGGAGGGGAACTTCGAGAGGCACCGAGCGTTGTCCGTGCTAATGTTTGCGCGGTATTAACACCCGGAACTACTGTATTTACGACTACCGACAGAGAATTCTCTCGTCAGCAACAAGTCTGCCGTCTCCACTGCGTTCCCGAGCAAAAATACATCGCAACCGTGGATACAGTTTCTCTAATTGGCAATTCGAAACAGCTAAACAACAAAATGGTACCACGCTGACGGAGTAATCAAAATACACAGATGTGGGGGTAAACGGTGCGTAGGAATCGAGGAAAAGGGATACCGATGTTCGAGTAAACGAGTATAAAAAATTTGGGGAACTGGATGTAAGTCTATTTCTATACATAGACATACGTAAGATTGTATCCTAATTTAGGGGGGAAGACTCAAATAACAAGTGAAACCAATCGATTTTTTTTTTTTGCATAAAACAATGGGTTTACATCTCAAGAATGTTATGTAAAAATTTTTAAGTGACATTCCTAGTCGTTCTTGAAAAAAACCAAGCAGGAGCTAATAGGTGGTGAGAGTGGCGTGTTGCTGAGGCCGTGGGAAATGAAAAAAGATATCGACACCCTCTTCCTTTCCCCCCGAACGTACACAAACATTTATTGTCTATTTATTGAGATCTATCCAGAAGAGATCTGCTCGAAAGATGTTTAGGTGGTCACATGCGAAACACAAACGAAAGTTTTAATGCTACATTAAATATAAAAAATAATTGAAATTACTATAAATCTAAATAGGATAGTTCAATGAAACATTGTGGGTACACTAGTTCCCAATTGTCTAAAAACAAAGTTTCGATTTCATGGACGATTTTAGTTTGCTCTAATAATTTGTTAAAACTGTAATGGCCGTCCTTAATTGTAAAAAAAATGTTGAAATTTTAATTTTCTTTCGGTTGAAGTGTTCCCAACAGACTGTGGGAGAATCCAGAGGTTGCCATGGACGAGCTGATCCCGCGCAAATGAAATTATGACGATCCATTGTTCCCGATACGGTCGTCGGGGATAAAAACGTTATCGCCCGGACGCATGCGTACGGAATTTTCCCATGGAGTCTGTTCGTATCTAAATCACTTGGCGCTAACGATAATCTCGATCCAAGAACGTAAGCTTAATCGCGCTGAGCTAATTCTCGCTCGAAACTCCCCAGACTGCAATAGTCGTAACATTCGCATGAAAGCCCGCGTATGAGAACGTGCCAAGAAAGCTCACCGTTTTCAGAGCTCGTACTCGCTCGGAACTTCAAAGTACTTTCCTTTTAATCGCGAATGTATGTAACTTCGGGTTAAAAGCATGTTAAAGGCTCAGCCAATCCACGGGACTCGCTTTTCGTGCCCTCTCCGCCAGATTCCAGGATCACGAACCATCCCCTTGTCCCCTCACCCCTCTCAGACACTGGCCAATTAGCGCGATCTAACGCAGACACGACACTTCCAATTGGAATAGTACTACGAACGCGTTTGCTAATTTATTTATAGGTTATCCGAATCGTACAAGCGACACGATTGGAAATAATTGGAACAAGGCGGTGTTTCGAATCGTTTTTGACTAGAAAATCTCACCAATCGATTGGTAATACCGTTACGGGGATGTAATATTTAGCATAGAAATTTTACGAATAAAATATGGAGGTACAATAAACATTCAATCAATTAATCACGATTTACTACTCTTATTCTTCGTTCAATTATTTTTATTTCAAATAGTGTATCAATTTTTCTGGAAGTTATAAAACTAGAATTTGTTTCTATTCATTCAACGTTCCGAAAACTCCAATGTTTACACGCGAAATTCAAATTTTCAGCAAAATTGGAAGAAGCATGACAAGAGTCAGCACAGACGTTGAAATAATTAATATACAATGTTCCAAAAGCTTCCTACTAAATGTTTTTATTATTATGTATATATCTATTAATATACTTTGTTTAAAAATGTCAATTTCCGATCGAAATTAATCTGAAAATATTTATCAACATTAGTGTTATTTTCACTCAAGTAGAAACCACTGTGAACAATATTTTTCTGAGACTCAAATGGATAGATTTCTGTTAATATTTGGCTTCTTTTCTATTTTCCACTATATATTTTCGTCGTAAATAAATACTACTCTAGTTTGTTAGAACTCGTGAGTCGCATCATAAATTCTAATACAAAATTCGTTAATTGATTGGCACCGGGTTACGATCGAAGCGCATCGAGGAATTCATCCGTGTTGTTAACAAGATCGTCGGTCTACGTTCGACGTAATTCAATTCCAAGGTGCTCGTTTCGAGGGAAAATCGACCCCCCACCCCCTCCGGGATCCCTTGGACCGTCGACGAAAGCTAACTAAACCTGAATAGGTGCTTTTTGCCGGCGGTATTAGCCGTCGATGTTGACCGTCGTGGGGTTGTACGATCGTGACTCCTGGGGATCAGCTCGTATTTTCCAGCAGAAGGATCGGTGCACCTTTATTGGATAAAACTCGATGAAGAACTACGATGCCAAAGTCATCGACCGGACACCCGGTAGCCCCCTCCCCCACCTCGAAGAAAATGAGATACCTTAATAAGACGCCCGTCGTCCCTGGATGTAATTACGCGTTCCAAGTTCCACACTATTTTCATGCTACGAGTAATTAGAATACCGATAGCCTCCGCGAACGTACTTTCTGCCCTTGCGCCGTTCTCCTCTTTTTACTTTCGGCCAAGAATGCGTACCGGGAATCACCGAGCGCGCAACTTCGACAACAGAAAACGCGAACGCTTCCCGAGGAATCGGAAGCTGCCATT